CGTTGATGGATGCCCAGACCGCTCATTACACTGATCAATAGCCAAAAAATATCCTAAATAAAATCAACAAAATATTACTATTTTTAATGTGCTAAAACCGGAATAAAACTTATTTTTTCAATATTAGTTCAAGTTTTAGAGATACGGTAATTATATGTGTTCCTGCTGTGTCAGTGTTAATATACTGTAATTCACAAGAATGCACGTGCTACATTTTTATATTCGGCAAGGAAAGATGATGTAATCGGCATGATTGTGTTACGTTATACATACGTGTACATTATATTGTTTTATATTAGCCATTTTTTCTTCAGTTGGCTGACAGCGTTCATGCAAGGTGTCTCGAAAGTGTGTAAACAATCCAGATCAGTTTTGTTACGTGTGTGGTGATGTGACTTTTGCGTCTCAGAGACGGTCTATTACTCCACTAATAACAAAGGCATATCAGCTTTATTTTGGTTGTAAACTAGGTGATCAAGACAAACAGTGGGCACCCCACATCTGCTGTAATACATGTGCTTCAAGTCTGAGGAGCTGGTTAAATGGCAAAAAACGGTCTATGCGCTTTGCTGTCCCAATGGTTTGGAGAGAGCCTACAAATCATATTAATGATTGTTACTTTTGCATGGTACCTTGTGTTGGACAAGCCACAGGTATGTCCAAGAAAAAAAAATCGGTTATTAACTACCCAAACATACCATCTGCGATGAGACCTGTGCCTCACAGTGACGAAAATCCTATTCCAAAACCCCCAGAATCCTAGACTTGCGAATCAGAAAACGAATCAGATCATGGCGATCGAGTGATTCGTCAGGAAGAAGATATGCCATCAACGTCAAGAGATCCTGATTTTATACCGAGCACGTCATGCCACCAACCGCACAAAATAACACAGTCAGAATTAAATGATCTTGTATGAGATTTAGAACTTCCAAAATGTAAGGCAGAGTTACTTGGATCAAGACTGCAGCAGTGGAACTTGTTAGAAGACGATGTTTCGGTATGTGTTTTTCGTAAACGTCACAAAGACTTCGAACCATTTTTCAGTATGGAGAATAACTTGGTTTTCTGCAGTAAGATTAACGGCTTACTGGCGGCTTTAAATACAAACTATAACCCAGAAGAATGGAGATTGTTTATAGACAGTTCAACATTGAGTTTTAAAGGCAGTGTTATTGCATATTGGAAGTATTTTACCACCTCTTCCTGTAGGGTATGCAGTTCACATGAAAGAATCATATGACAATATGAAGTACCTATTGACATGCATAAAATACGATGAGCACCAATGGCATATTTGCGGCGATTTGAAAGTTGTTGCACTATTACTTGGGCTGCAGCTAGGCTACACAAAGTTTTGCTGTTTTTTGTGTGAATGGGACAGTCGGGCAAAGGCACTTCATTACACCAGACAAAACTGGCCTGTTCGTCAATTCCTAGAGCCAGGTCAACAAAATGTACAGCATATGCCATTAGCAGATTCGAAAAAAATTTTATTACCACAACTGCATATCAAGTTGGGCCTAATGAAAAACTTTGTCAAGGCATTAGATAGAGATGGGTCAGCTTTTCAATACCTGCGTCAGAAATTTCCAAGACTAAGTGAGGCAAAGGTTAAAGAAGGTATTTTTGTTGGGCCACAGATTCGAAATATTTTGAAAGATACACAGTTTGGAAACACTTTAACAGGTATTGAAAAAACTGCTTGGAATGATTTCCGTCTGGTGGTCACTAATTTCTTGGGAAATAGAAAAGCTGACAACTATAAAACCCTTTTCAAAAATATGCTATCATCGTATCAAAAGATGGGCTGTAATATGTCTCTTAAGATACATTTCCTACACTCACACCTGGACTTTTTTCCTGACAATTGCGGAGCCGTAAGTGATGAGCACGGCGAACGTTTTCATCAGGATATTTCAACAATGGAAAAAAGGTACCAGGGAAAGTGGAATCCTTCCATGCTTGCAGACTACTGTTGGACTCTTGGTAGAGATGCTCCAGAAACGATCCATAAAAGAACAGCAAAAAGACAGCGCATATAGTGATTCTTATATGAATCTTGTTACTTTTTTAATATATCCTTAAAAATAAAAAGTTTTTTTTCTAAACCGCAAATAATTTTTTTATTTCATTGTCATTTTTTGATTCAGCGCCCCAAAATTAACAAAGAAGTGCACTTTTCCCACAAGATACAATTAAAAAACTAAAATTTGTTGTCCGGTGTTATAAGAGATGCGAAAACAAATAGAGAAGGATTACTTTATCATAAGAAACTCCAATGCTTAGCATTCGCTGACGATTTAGTGATCATAACCAGAAGTAACGAGGAATTATGCAAAGTGACGAAGAGGCTGGAAGACAAAGCACTGTCAGTGGGTTTGGATATTAACGAAGAAAAAACTAAGTATATGAGTGGACAGAGGAAGAGTTTAAAAATGAGAGGTTAACAGTAAAAGCAGCCAGTGGCAAAACTTACCAATTTGAAGAGGTAGAAACGTACACGTATTTAGGAACTGTTTTTAAAAGAAGACCAGATATTGCGGAAGAAATTCAGAATAGGCTGATGATGGGTAACCGGTGTGTTTACTCACTGAATCGACTACTAAAGAGTAGAATCGTGTCCAGAGAGAGACCTGTTGTCATCTATGGCAATGAAGTATGGACGTTAAATAAAGCAGAACAGAACAAAATCGCTGTTTGGGAGAGAAAAATCTTACGCAAGATATTCGGTGGGAAGCGGGAGTGCGGTAGATGGGTGCGGAGAACGCACAAAGAACTGCAATCTCTTTATGGTGAACGTGATATAGTAGGAACAGTGAAAGCTCAAAGATTGAGATGATGGTTGGGACATGTCCAAAGGATGACGAAGACCAGAATACAAAACAGAGTAATAACAAGCAATATTAGTGGAGAAAAGAGGCGAGGAAGACCGAAAACCAGATGGAAAAAGTGGAAATGGATATTCAAGAGTTAAGAATTAACAATGGGAAGAAGGCAGTAAACAAGAAAAGCTGGCGACAGGTTACCACTCAAGCCATGGGCCTATCAGGCCTGCAGTGCTGAACTATATATATTGAGGAGCCAGAAAGTTTTGCACCATATCACGGTAGTGGCCAGTGACAGTGAGAATTAACAGTAGCGTCTTCAAAGAAGTAAGGTCCGATTATACCTCCATACCAAACACCGCACCAAACTGTGTGTGTGATGTAGTGGTCGTTGATGGATGCCCAGATCGCTCATCAGTTGAAACAGTTTACTGCTCGGACAGGGGTGCAGCCTCTATTAATCAGCATGGGTTTATGAGAGGCAGATCTACGGTCACCAACTTGGCTCTAATTACTCAATACATTTCTGAAGTACTGGACGGTCAGGGACAAGTTGATGTCATCTACACAGATATTCAGAAGGCTTTTGATCAAGTTGATCATTATGCACTTCTGGATAAGCTTAAAACAGTGGGTATGTCTGATGCAATGCTGTCACTCATGAATTCATATTTGAGGGATAGAAGGTTATTTGTCGAATATGGTGGTCATAGGTCGAGTTACCATCGGGCCACGTCTGGGGTACCTCAAGGGTCAAATCTAGGTCCATTATTGTTTTTAATATTTATTAATGACTTGTCTTTTGAACTGAAGTGTTTCCATTTGTTTTTCGCTGATGACCTTAAAATCTGCACGTCAGTCAAGACAGTCGAGGGTTGCGTCATGTTGCAAGATGACTTAGCTCTAATTTCGTCATGGTGTTCACGAAACTGTCTCAGTCTGAATGTTTCGAAATGTAAAGTTATGACTTATACAAGAAAAGTGAACTATTTAATTTATGATAATTATAACATCAATGGTCAGGTTATAGATAGATGCACCTCTTATAGAGACCTTGGAGTCATTTTTGATACCAAGCTAACGTTTACTGAGCATATACTCAATATCACCACTCGACTACTTGGTTTCTGTATCAGAAACTGGAAGGGTTTCTCCAATGTTGATACATTAATGACTTTATTTTTTATTTTTGTCAGGAGCAAGTTAGAGTATGCGACTCTGATCTGGTCTCCTATATACCAAAATTCTGTCGAGATTCTTGAGGCCATTCAACGTAAAGCTTTAAAGTATTTTCACCTTAAATGCACAGGTTCTTATCCAGAAAGAGGTTGTGACCATAGTGCCCTATTAGAGTCTTTCAATTTGGATTCACTGTCAACAAGACGAAACATATTTGCTTTGTCGTTTTTGTATGGCCTCATTCACAATAAAATTGACTGTCAAAATTTACTTGAAAAAATATGTTTCCGCGTTCCAAGGCTAGGGAGTCGACAACAAATGACATTCTATTGTCAAGCTGGCCGTACAAATGTTATGACAAAATCGCCAATTAATCTCATGTGCTGCGTCATGAACAGTGTTACTGAATCGTGTGATATTTACAGTGATAGTTGTGCATCGATTATTAACTGTTATAGATCATCCAATCTTATTTAGAATGTGTGATACTATAGATTTAAGTCCAAGAACCATGTCGCTTTAATTGTTATTTTTTTCAGCGTTTCCTGTAATTGGGTTTCACCTGTTGGAAATAAAATAAAATAAAAATAAATAAATCAGTTGTCGGTAAAAATCGTTTTCTTGGGCGACTTTCATGGTCACTAGGCTGTAGTTCTTGAATCTAGTATAGTCGCAAATGCAAGTCTTTTTTCAAAATAGTTCCTAATGACGTGCGACGAATACCCAGTTTTTAAGAACGATGTCTGGTAGACATCTCAGGGCGCCCCACTACACTTCACGTAGCTTCCGACTCATTATTTAAATGAAACGTTTAAACGATACGGACGCGTTGTGGGATCTGAACATGATGAATTGGACACAAGTGCTTTAAACAACAACTACGGCGCCACCCACTACAATGCCTGTATAAAAAATGGCGCGCAGTTTAAATCAGTCAGTTATATATTGGCCAGCCTCTACAAGTTGAAACAGATTACTCATATTGCTTCTTAGATTTATAGGAGAGTAGCAAGTCCCAGTAACGTATTCCCATTTGATAAAACACACACTGAACCCCCTGCAAATATCGGAAAGCCACTGGACAGGGTGAACGACTCGAAGGAATATTGCGATTTGAAGAGACCATCGAGTTCGATCAGAAATCCATTGACAGGAACTGGACTCAATTCCAATGACGAATACAGGTTTAAAGGAACCAAACGAAGAGGTAAACATTGAACTTTGTGAAATTATGCATTAGAACGTAATCGTAAAAACTTGAGACAACGCAATTTTTTAAGCGATTGATCTGAAAAAAAAAATGAACATGGGCTACTTCCAGTGATGAAATTACGCTTTGACAAAAAAAGTATAGACGAACTGACGAAAATAACGCGCAAAAGGTCAAAACATCATTATCTCAAAATCGGACATTTTACAATATTTCCCTCGCCAACATAATGATGTAAATTATACAACAAAATGTATATAAATTATATCAAAATTCAATAAGTAATTCTGATTGTTGCATTTTATATGTCACTTAGTATACAGGGTGTTTCAGTTTATTGTTGCATAACTTTAAGATTCGATAGAACTTTTAAAATTAATGCATAAAGTCTATATAAACATGGGTCGAAAAATGCGTGGCTTCCGAAATACAGGGTGTTTAAATTTACTTTCTAAAATAGTTTTTTTTAAATATTCCGATCAATATTTGACGTATAACAGTGAAAATTGGTGTACAAGGGTTTTTTGGTACGACAAAACGAACCATGGGCATAGTTTTACTGTAGCCGTTAAAGGGCGCTGTCTACTGTACCTGTAGTGTATTAAAATGACCGAAAATTTTTTGTTAGTGCAATTTTTTGCTTTATGAATAAAAAAATGATTCTTCGCACTTTTCAACATATCTTGTGAATTTTCGTTATAGTTAGCAGTTTTTGAGATATTTCGATTTGTAAGGTTCCATTCATTTTTAATTATTTGTGATAAAATAACGTTAAAAAGTCAGTATCTCGATAATTTTTAGAAGTAGGCTGTGCCTGCAAATATTTTTGAAATTGAAAGCAGAATAAGGTTAAACTCAATTAGTTGACAGTTAGTTTTGTTGTCTGTTGAAACCTGAAACGTTTTTTTGCAATTGTGAATGCACGAAATTTAGTTTCATGTTTGTGTTTTTTTTTTGTTTTATAAAAATGCCATTTTTATTCTCCAATCAAGAGTTAGCGGATATTCATTTTGTGTACGGCTTTGTAAATGGAAACGCAGCAGAAGCAGCCAGAGAATACGCACGAAAATTTCCAAACAGACGACATCCAACTTGCTCAGTATTTGTAAGAGTGCATCGCCAAATAATTGAAAATGGTTTTGGAAATCTCCAAGGCTGAACATGCGAATATGTGGGATGATATGTTAGATTTAAGAAGATTGGCCTGGTTCCAGCTTGATGGTTGTCCAGCTCATTATTCGAGAATAGTTAGAAACTGGCTGGACGAAAATAATCCAGAAAGATGGATCGGCCGTGGAGGACCAGTCGCCTGGCCTCCACGATCCCCTGACCTAAATCCATTAGATTTCTTTGTGTGGGGATTTCTAAAAGGAAAAGTGTACCAGACTCCCGTAACCACAAGAGATATACTAATAGACAGAATCAGGAATGCATGTGATGAAATAAGGCCTTATTTGAATAATGCTATACCACGTTCGATCATGCGTAGATGTGAATTGTGTATTGAACAATTGGGTTTACATTTCGAGCGACTACTTTAGATTTTGTATGTTTGTCCTAACTATCCAATAGCATTTTAGTTGTAAATAATTAATTTAATTTGTTAAAAATAATATTGGAAAATTAAACAAATTAATATTCTGTTTTTTGTGTTTATTTGGAGTTAGGAATTATTGCTGTTTTTAAAAACACAATCTAAACGATCATCTTAATTACTTGTAATGCCCAAATCGAAAATGTAAAAAAAATATTATTTTCCCATAAATAATTAAAAATGCATCGAACCTTAAAAATCGAAATATCTCAAAAACGGCAACTATAATGACAACTCACAGGAGAGCTTTTTTATGCAGAAACGTGCGAAGAATCAGTTTTTTTTGTTCAAAAAGCAAAAAATTGCACTAAGAAAATTTTTTCGGTCATTTTAATACACTACAGGTACAGTAGAGAGCGCCCTCTAGCGGCTACAGTAAAACTATGCCCATGGTTCGTTTTGTCGTACCAAAAAACCCTTGTATTCCAATTTTCACTGTTATACATCAAATATTGTTCGAAATATTTAAAAAAAACTATTTTAAAAAGTAGATTTAAACACCCTGTATTTCGGAAGCCACGCATTTTTCGACCCATGTTTATATAGACTTTATCCATTAATTTTAAAAGTTCTATCGAATCTTAAAGTTATGCAACAATAAACTGAAACACCCTGTATATTTCGTCAGCTCAAACGGATGAACAACTAAAGAAACGTAAATTTGAACAAAAAATGCTTTCACTACGAGCGATAGATAATGAATTTTCCGAAAAGGGTTACCTATTTGTCAACACCGCATTTATCTGTTAGCAAACAAGAACAGAGTTTAGGCGCCATTAGCTGTTTTGTGGACGCCTCGTTTTTAGATACACCTATTACCTCCTAATGTTTACCTTGTCTGTATTCTCTTGGTATAACTACTCTTTGCCTGTACTTCAATCCGATTTTTTCTACGCTCTAAAGGAAATGCCTGGCACTCGTTTTAAATAACGCCTGGTTGGACAAATAGACTAATTATATTGGTATTTTCTACCAGTTTATTTCCAATTCTGAATGATTTTGTTTTAGATGGGAATCCTGTGCTAGGCGTAGGTTATACTCCAGAAGCGATGCCATCTTCCCAGAGAATACCTCCTGGTGGATACTCTCACAAGCTTTGGTGATGATCACTTTATGCAAGAATAAATTCCCAGTGACATTGAACACCTTTTGAATTACACATATGTAAATGTAATAATGGAATGGAGTAAGAAAAGATAAAGTACTGGAAATGACAAAGGGGTATTATCTAAAATGTTAATTTTAACGGAATATCATTCTTTTCGGTCAACAAAATTGATCCTGAATGTTTTCTGTGGTAAAACTTGTCCACAGTTCAAAAACTTGTCAACTATAAAACAAAGATGACGCAGTAATAATCGATCAGCTTTTCCCGATGAAATCGCCCTAAATATTTCATGTCAAACTGACAACTTTAGAGGATAAAGATGATTTGTTATACACCTAACGGAAGCATAGCTTCCCTCCATGTCGGAAGCAGGAACTTTGGAAAAATATATCTTCCTAAAAGGGGATTATGTTGAAAAATAAAAAGAATTTTTTTGGAATAAATATTTCTAACTCGGGTACTTATCGAACCGCCCTCGTACATGTCGCTAGAGGCTGGAACCTTTAACTACGAGGGTTGTCTCAAAAATATGGCAATAAAGGGCTCCATTGCGCGTGGCCAACAGGTGCTTCTTGTTGGGATCGGTGGTGGGGGACACGACAAACACGACGCTGTTGCCAGATTTCGCCTAGCATCAGGCATGGCAAAGATACAGTGCCGGGAACTTTATTTTCGAGACCACCTTATTCTATGCAAATTTGTTTTTATATTTGATGCTGAGACTTCATTTCCACAACGAAAGCAGCCAAAGCGAGTATGTCATTGTCATTCATTGCGCTTTAAAATGTTACCGTTCAAGTCCGTTTGTACGTTGGTTTGTACTGCCAAGAATACAGTCACGTATAGGTACCATGTCCTTTATGTGTAATTGTATACTGAGTGATAAACAAAGGTAAACACCTACGTATGTTTATTATAATTCAAAAATTTGTTACATATCGATTTATCTTGCCATGAACAACGAGTGATAAAATGGTCAGGTTTTTTCTGTTAAGTGTTTGTGGTGGCTGCGTGTATTGTTTGGTGATAAAGCAGCATTCGGTTTTCGTTCACTTACGGTGTCAGTTAAATGTTGAATTTCGTGTACCCTATTGAGAAGCTTTTTTGTGATTGCTCAAAATGCCTAGAGTGCGTCGGATTCGCCGGGTGTCAAAGCTAAGTGACTTTGAGAGGGGTCAAATTGTCGGGTTGCGTGAGGCCGGTCTATCGATAAGAAAAGTTTCTAGGAGGACCACCACGATCGCCTGACCTATCTCCAATTGAACATGTCTGGGACATGATAGGTCGCAGGCTCTTGAATTTTCAACACCCTTCAGAAACTTTAGCAGCCCTTACTCAAAAAGTTGCAATAGCCTGGAATGATATAATCCAACAGGACATCGACCACCTTACCACCACGATGCCTACAGTGTATAAGAAAGCGTGGATCCTCTACATACAGGGTGTACGCAAAGTTGGGGTTTTCCTTTTCAGAAACGCAGAAACCACATTGATTGTCTTACACTTAATGGCACATCTTCTAACAAGGAAGGCAAAATGTTACGTAAAAAATCTAGGTATTGCATCCCGTCCAATCGATTTGGGAGAATAAATGGTCCAATGAGCATACCGTTCACCATGCCAGCCCAAACATTCACCGAAAATGTTTGTTGAAAATGTGCCCGAAGGACAGCGTGCGGATTTTCTACTGACTAAACATGAGTGTTGCGAAAGTTATTCACCCCATTACGCGTGAACGTAGATTCGTCTGTCACCAATATGCACTTCAAAAAGTCCGGATTATTGTCATGTTGATGCAACAACCACTCACAAAACCGCACTCTTGCTGGAAAATCGTCAGGTTGAAGGGCTTGTACACGTTGGACGTGAAACGGATACAGCCCCTCTTCACGCAGCGTTTACCACACTTTAGTTTTTGATACTTGCACTTCTCTAGCCACGTCTCTAGTGCTTGTTGTGGGATTCTCGTCTACGCGATTACCTCTACACGCGTGACCGTAACAGTCGGTTGAAGGTTGCATACTGACCTGACCCCGACCCAGTTCTGTCGTCGGGTTGAGCCAGTGACCTTGTACTACTTGGTGATGTCGCGGCGACAGGACGGTATTCAGATATTTTTGATGTTGCAGAGCCCTTTATCTCGGTTCCCTTAAGACATTGGTGTATATGGTACTAAGAAAAATTGCTTATGTTTTCAAGATCTACACGTCGTGTAAAGGAAAACCCCAACTTTGCGGACACCCCGTATTATTGAAACAGCTTCAGCAGTCAAATGACGAATCAAGCTGAAAATTTGATCATTTTACCAGTAAGGTACACTGGACATATATATATATGCCAAAAATTATTAAAATCGGATATAGATACGTAGGAGTTTACCTTTTTTGTCAATCAGTATATGAAAAAACTATGCAAGCTTACTTTTCAACTATGGAAAGAAATAATCGGCCGATAGTCCGATACCGTCAAAATATCGGCCTGTGATGCATCGCTATCGGCAAAATTCTATATCTAGTACATAATTGGTTTTCCAGGGTTAAAAGATAGTTTAACACCAATTCATCAAAATCCCTAATTACTCTCTTAGTAATAGTATTACAGAATGATTGTATTCGCTGATATTGTTTTTGTTTTTTCAAAATATACATGGTGTTTCAGTTTATTGTTGCATAACTTTAAGATTCGATAGAACTTTTAAAATGAATGCATAAAGTCTATATAAACATGGGTCGAAAAATGCGTGACTTCCGAAATACAGGGTGTTTAAATTTACTTTTTAAAATAGCTTTTTTTAAATATTTCGAACAATATTTGACGTATAATAGTGAAAATTGGTATACAAGGGTTTTTTGGTACGACAAAACGAACCATGGGCATAGTTTTACTGTAGCCGCTAGAGGGCGCTCTCTACTGTACCTGTAGTGTATTAAAATGACCGAAATTTTTTTCTTGGTGCAATTTTTTGCTTTTTGATAAAAAAACTGATTCTCCGCACTTTTCAACATAAAAAAGCTCTCGTGTGACTTTTAGTTATAGTTAGTCGTTTTTGAGATATTTCGATTTTTAGGGTTCGATGCATTTTTAATTATTTATGGGAAAATAATATTTTTTTTTTTTACATTTTCGATTTAGGCATTACAAGTAATTAAGATGATCGTTTAGATTGTGTTTTTAAACACAGCAATAATTCCTAACTCCAAATAAACACAAAAAAACAGAATATTAATTTGTTTAATTTTCCAATATTATTTTTAACAAATTAAATTAATTATTTACAACTAAAATGCTATTGGATAATTAGGACAAACATACAAAATCTAAAGTAGTTGCTCGAAATGTAAACCCAATTGTTCAATACACAATTCACATCTACGAATTTCATCACATGCATTCCTCATTCTGTCTATTAGCATATGTCTTGTGGTTACGGGAGTCTGGTACACTTTTTCTTTTAGAAATCCCCACACAAAGAAATCTAATGGATTTAGGTCAGGGGATCGTGGAGGCCAGGCGACTGGTCCTCCACGGCCGATCCATCTTTCTGGATAATTTTCGTCCAGCCAGTTTCTAACTATTCTCGAATAATGAGCTGGACAACCATCAAGCTGGAACCAGGCCAATTTTCTTAAATCTAACATAACATCATCCCACATATTTGCATGTTCAGCCTTTAAAAATTCCAAGAAGGTCGCAGCATTTAACCTAGCAGGCAAAAGGTAGGGTCCAAAGTCGATTACGGTAGATACCAATCCACACGTTCACACTAAATTCATGCTGAAAATTTCTTTCCCGAACTGCATGCGGATTTTCATGCGACCAAATATGTCGATTATGATAATTTACCACCCCACGTCTAGTAAAGCATGACTCATCGATCCATAAAACGTTACTTAAAAACTCCCTATTATTATCAGTTCTATCAAGAATCCACTGACAAAATGTGATTCTTCGTTCTCCGTCCCCTGGCTGTAGTCCTTGCACAGGTTGCAAATGGTAAGGACGTCTATGGTCATTTCTAAGAACACGGTGAACATGGCTTGCTGAAATTCCCAAGGCACCAAAAACTCTCCTAACACTTGTGGTCAGATCTCTATCAAACTCATGCTGAATCATAAGGGTAAATCTGCGCTAACGAACATTTATGTTTTGATCCATTTGGAGATTTCCAAAACCATTTTCAATTATTTCTCGATGCACTCTTACAAATACTGAGCGAGTTGGATGTCGTCTGTTTGGAAATCTTCGTGCGTATTTTCTGGCTGCTTCTGCTGCGTTTCCATTTACAAAGCCATACACAAAATGAATATGCGCTAACTCTTGATTGGAGAATAAAAATGGTATTTTTATAAAACTTACAAAAAAAAACAGGTAAAAGAAACTAAATTTCGTGCATTCACGATAGCAAAAAAACGTTTCAGGTTTCAACAGACAACAAAACTGTCAACTAATTGACGTTTAACCTTATTCTGCTTTCAATTTCAAAAATATTTGCAGGCACAGCCTACTTCTAAAAATTATCGAGATACTGACTTTTTAACGTTATTTTATCATAAATAATTAAAAATGCATCGAACCTTAAAAATCGAAATATCTCAAAAACGGCTAACTATAACGAAAATTCACAAGAGAGCTTTTTTATGTTGAAGAATCAGTTTTTTATTCAAAAAGCAAAAAATTGCACTAAGAAAAATTTTTCGGTCATTTTAATACACTACACGTACAGTAGAGAGCGTCCTCTAGCGGCTACAGTAAAACTATGCCCATGGTTCGTTTTGTCGTGCCAAAAAACACTTGTATACCAATTTTCACTGTTATACATCAAATATTGTTCGAAATATTTAAAAAAACTATTTTAGAAAGTAAATTTTAACACCCTGTATTTCGGAAGCCACGCATTTTTCGACCCATGTTTATATAGACTTTATGCATTAATTTTTAAAGTTTTATCGAATCTTAAAGTTATGCAACAATAAACTGAAACACCCTGTATATTACTCACCTAGTGCACACCAAGTACGACCTTATGTTAAACCGTTTTAAGGCGTAGGTACGTCTAAACGTACTAAACGAGATATAACGCACATAATAAGTTTCAGGTGCTACGTACGGAATGATCTTCAGTAGCGCTACGTGTGATTCACTCACCTGGCACATCT